ATTTGTATTTTTCTGTATTTGTTTTAATATAAATTTGTCCGCCTACCAAAGTGTCTTGAGTTCAATAGGTTTGTTATTATTTTGGTAATTTTTTATGTGTGTTCTTTTTGCAATAATAATTATTTTAAGCCTTACTATAGAACTGTAAAATACGTAAATAAATAATAAAGCATAACTTAATTTGAAAGATTTAAAAAAAATTAGAAATGGTATAGTTCTAGGAATTTTTAGAATTTAGCGGCGCACGTGTGAACACACCCTAATATATCTACACAAAGTGGAACAGTACTGATTTTGAATTTGCTTCCAGATAGAGCGAGAAAAATAGAGCGAGAAAGGTGTTCCTTTTATTCTTGTGTGTAAACGTTTCGTTGTTCGTGTGGTTTGCTGAGTCTGGCTCAGGCATTGAATTAGAGGTTATGTTTAATATATGTAAGTTTGTTGTGCTGTGTTTACAGTAAGTTGTCTTGTTTGTAATTTTACGACAGTTAATTTTGACTTAATTGTATAGAAATTTCCATGCAAAATAATTTTATAATTTCTTTATGTTCAATTTTGTTTCGAATTGCTGTTTATACTACAATTTGGTAAATTTTTGTTCGTTTTCTTTTAATCTTTCGAATACAATTCAAATTCAAATACTTAAATGTAACTTAAAATTTACTTAAAATTTTGTACAATTTTGTCATAAGAATTTTGTTACTTAAATCTAAGAAAAATACTCATTTGCCTTTAACGCCACCAATTTCTATATGTATGTGTGTGTGTGTATGCAAAATGTCAATAACTTAAATAATATGTACTTTTGTTGTATTTGCAATCGTATTACTTTGCTAATTATCATATAAATGTTCAGTAATTTAGCTATGTTTGTATGTGTGTTTTACCGTTAAGAATATTATTAATTTCTTTGTTTTCGCTTTTGTGTTTGTACTCATCTGCTTCATGATTAGTTTCATCGCATTTAGCGCAACATTTCATTGTGTTTTTAGGTTAGTAGAGAGTAATAGAGAGAGGCGAGCGGAGCATGGCTAATTCGCTTAGTTAATCATATTTTTATTCTTGTTGATTTTGTTAGTAAATACTTTGTTTGGGTTAGTATTTTGGAAGCGTTTTGTTAAAAAATCCATCAGCAGTTATTTAAGGTTGTGAACGGAATCAGTATAGTGAGTGAGTGAGTGAGTGAGTAAGTGAGTGAGTGAGTGAGTGAGTCAAGTGTTATGAGTGGATGAGTAGATTGAGTGAGTGAGTTAGTTAGTTTGTTTGGGCACAACTATGTGTGAGTGCGTGTGTAATTTAAAGGGCGAGGGGCGGAAGTGTGAACAACAACAAGCAATTCTGCCATTCGAGCCTTCAAGCAACGCTGCAGTCGCTCAATATAGCAAAGGCGCATCTTGCTCATTCATATGGATGGGTATCAGTGGGTGTGTGTGTGTGCATATTTTTGTGGGTTGGTATGCGGTTAATAACTTTTATTTTAGTGTAAAATCAGTTTATTTTTGTTTTTTTTTTTAAATATAAAAGCGGAGATTGCCAATTTCTTAGTGTTACTTATGGTCGTCGAAAATAACGGAGAGTCTGGGTTTCTTTTACACACTAAAATGCTTACTAAAATTTACAGCCAGATTTTGTAATTGATTTTTCCAAACAAGAAATATTAAAAAAAATGATTTGCCTTAAGTATTTTTTTCATTTGAATCGAAACAAAAATCGGAAATTAAGAAAATAATGTATAATTTATTTATATATTTTTTATTTTTGCTAATTGTGCACACTCTTGTATTCGTAAGCGAAGAAATGCAAGTGGATGCTATTTTTTCGCACATTAGGGTAGTTCATACGACGAACCGCTTAAGTTGCTTGCCATATTATACGTTTCGTATGCATTTACGTATGTATGTAAGGTAGGTAATTGTTGTGTACATATTTATATAACATATACTTAAAAAGTACAGTTATTCTCATTAGAAGTTATTAACAACAGAAACAGCAACAAACAAACTAATTTGCAACATTTAATGAAATTCAAAACAAAACTTTACATGAGTGATGATGAGAAAACGAACAGAACCGAAATTAAACTAAAAAACGAAACGCAAAATATTAATGTTGCAAAAAATATGCGAAATAAGTTACGCATTTTCTTGTTATTTTCTCCTGTTTTACATAAATGGCCAACAAAAACATTTGGAATAATGAACATGGGCTTGATTTTAGTCATAACCTAAGGGTTAATAGACAATCACATATTTTATATGCAATAATGTTTTTGAATTTTCGAAATTGAAATGTGTAATAGGTACTTTGTGTTTGTTCTGTTGACACATATTTTCGTTATTATTTTTTATTTATGCTAATTATTTAATGATAAATAACACATATACACGACGACACGATTATTGGAGTAAAAAAATGCTTTAGAATTTAAATAAAAATTGGTATGAAATCAACGGAAAACCACATTTATTTGCAACAGAAAAACATCAGAATTGCTTTTCGTCTTTCATCTGAACGCAACGAAAAATTAAAATTCATTAAATCATTCGATAATCCAATTAATTCGAGTAGCAAATTAAAATTAATAATTTTTGGAAAATAATTTAGTTAAAAAATATTAACTTTTTTTGCAAACCAAGAAAACTATTTTAGTACAAAAAGCTCTAATTATTTGATTTTATACGTGTAATCTTGCTTTTAACTAAACATTCAAAATTATATGTGTGTAAATGTCAATATGTATGCATGTGCGTAAACAAAACACAAAAGTATGCAATTACAATGTTTTTGATTGTTTTTTTTTTTTTTTTTTTTTTTTTTAATATATGGCAACAAAACGAAAGTATGGACAACAAAAAAAAGAATTCATAAATATTACAAATATATATGTATAAATATTTATTTACTTGTAGTTACATCTACGAGTAAGTAAAAAAGAAAAATGTTAATTTTTAATTCTCACAAAATACGAATACAAAATTAGCACACAAAGAAACAAATAACACGGAAAATATATATCTTGGCCTTTTCACTCATCGCTGCTGCCGACTGTGCAGCTTTTGAAAGAAGCGGTTAAAAAAAATTTTTACTTTAAGAAATATTTATTCAGAGCTTATAACAAAAATTTCATCTTTGAAAACTCGGCTTTTTATTCATTTATGCTTAAAAACTCATTTCTCCTTTTTAAACAATCTTTGTTCTTTTAAATTTTTCTTTTCTCGTTACCTGCTCAAGTTCGACAAACGCTGAACGCATTTAATAGAGGCGTTGATAAGAAAAACGCATCTTGTAAGGGGTATAAATCACTTTAAAAATTATGTGAACGGAAATGCAACGAAGATGACTCAACTTTATAGTTTTATGTAAAGAAAAAATTGAGAAAAAAATATTTCATTTACCTTCTGACAGTAAAATGACCACAAAGACAATTTCATAAAACTACATACAAATCAAAAATAAAAAATAGCTAAGGAATAGCAAGCGCCAAAATGCTGGTTTTGCTGTAATGAATTAATTTTGCTCCCGCGGCTCTGTGCACGTAGGTATGTTTGTTACACATAGGCATGGCATTTCTAAATAAAGTGCAAATGAAGTTTATAAATTCACAGAAAGTGTGAAACTTGTTGCGCCGCAACTATAATGTTTTTGATTACAGCTTAATTAGGCGTTAAAAGGCGCGTATGTATATGTTTGCATGTGTGGAAGCGCCTAAATGTGTGCTATAAATTTTCGGTGCAGCCAGCAGCGAGGCAGCGGTTGCTATTCATCATATGATTAGTTTTTGAAGTTCGCGTGAAGTTTGTGCGTATGTGTGTGTGTGTATGTGTGTGTGTGTGTGTGTGTGTTGCTAATCAAAATTAATTTTAAACACTTTTGCGCCGATTAACGCAAACATGAAAGCAACTGTTGTTGTTGTTTTTGTTATTATACAGTTAGACAACTGCTAAAGTGGTTAGACACCACACCACACACATACAGCCAAAGTGCGTGTAAAGCGCGTGAAGTGAAAAGTGGCTGTAGCCGCAAGCCACAACATTACACACACCCAAACACATATTGGCATAAAACATGCGTAATCTCTATTTTACACTTTCATCACGACTTCATTTGCAATGTGAATTTGTGTGTGAGCAAAATATTCCACAAACGCTTAAATAGACAAAACTTTTGCCATTAGCACACACGTATGTGCATACATATACATATGCATAAGCTTGGCGGCGGTCGGATTGTTGTTGTTTGGGGGGCAAATTGTTGAGGTCGGCCACAACATAAAGGCATCAATTAAAATTTCCCCACAGGCTTCTGAAAGAATTTCAAGTCATGCTGCATTAAAACCTGTTTGACGGAGTGAGAAACGTGTCCTCCGCTGTGAGTGATGAGTGGCAAATGTGCGCTAAATAATTTATGTGGCATGCGGTATGTGGCGCGTCCTACGTATAGACACATATAGATATTTGAGCAATAGTTGCTGCAACTAATAATAGATCGTCATGCGCTCCTCTGAACAGTAAGCAGCCAGCGAGTTTTTATGATTAACTGCAAGCGTTGAGCTCGACAGTTATTGCCAACACCAAACTGTGGTTGCTATTATTGTATTATAGTAATGTTGCCATATCAGTTAATTAATTTCTAACACCATTTAATAGCTGCTTGTGCTTGCTAGCGTTAAACTGTTATCGAATTTTGAGTAAATCATTTCATGAATTTTTCGTTTTCCAAATTTTTATACCTTTTTTAATAAATCTGATTTTTTTACTTTGTGATCATTTTACCAGTCGCTGTTTTTACTTATGGAGGGGATATGCTTGTATATATATTTATATATATATATATAAAAGAAATGAGTATTTTTTACCATCGAAACAATCAAATAAGAAAGAAATTTTTTCCTGCTTACACTTAGTTACTGTTATTATTTATAACCAACAAAATACTTAACAGCTGAAACGAGTTATTTCCATAAAATTGAGATTTTTCAAAAATTTCCATTTTACTCAAAGTGCACGAAATTGAAAACTGAGTAATAAATGCCGATGAACGCAGTGCTACCAAGAAGCGGTGCAACAATGGAATGATGAGACTCATACATATATAAATATTATAGATGAAGTGAGTGAGTATTGATTGAAGGCATTTGAAAAGTACATAAACACCCATATGTAAATATATGTATATTTCTTTATACAAAAAAAAAAAAATACTGATTTTAGAACTCAAAAGCACACCAGTTATCAAATAGTCTTAAGATTTTGCAGGAGTTAAATGCACTAATAAAATTTCTTTAATTCAAGTGAAATTAATATTCAATGAAAATGTTAGAAAATGGTGCGAAGGACGAAAATTGAGTGAGAACAATCTACGTAAAATGAGCACGTTGTGAAGCGCGTAGGCGCCTGAAAATTTTGAAAATAAAAATGTGTTTCTTATGCCACTGCGTTCTAGGCTTTTTATTTGAAATCAATTATTTTCGAAATATTGTTTTAAAATTTTAAATATTTTATATTCATCAAAAAAAGTTTGGAAATTCTCGCTGTATTATTATGTCTATTGATTTTTTTACTTCTTCTCTCTTTTTTTCTAATATTATTAGCTTTTTTGGTCCCGAAATCGGTTTAAATTAAACAAATAAACCAAAAGTTAAATAAATCAATTATGAAAAAACACATTAGAGAAATTAATTATAATATAATCATATTTCAAAATAATTTTTGTGACCTTGTGGTTCTTTCTTGCTTAAAAATTTTCCGTAGTTATAAATGTAAATGCATTAAAAAATAATTAAATTGGGGAAATATTTGCATTTGATGTAAAAATGTTAAGGAATGAATTTGAATTCGAAATGTTCGGAAAGAGCGAATAAGTAGTAAAATTTGTTTATGGAAGCAGCGTACTCACCTTGTGGAGAAACTGATATTTCGGCGGCAGACTGCAGTTGTGAGTTAAAACCTGTAATTCAAAGGAGCTTATATTAATTGTAACATAATCAACACAAAAGAGCTTCGAGCTTTTAAAAACTGGCTTAAAGTTTCTCAAAAAAAATAAATATATAGTTTGACACGAAAGCTCAAAGTAGAGCTTTCATTAAAAGCTCTAAACCTAAGTGTTAAAAACGGAAGCGGTTCAAAGAGCCAACTCGAAAATAAGTATGGTTGCTTCAATATGAGATGTATAAAAGCCCAGCATAGTCTCAAGCTATATACTACACTTACCAGCTAACGCTGCAGGATCCAGACCGCCCATGGGAAAATTGAATGTGGCCGGTGAAAAAAGTTTGCTCTCTGCCGGTGACATCAGATATGGCGGTGGAGGATGTGGTGGCATATTGTTATCATTTTCCTCATCGTTTCCCGAGCTAGATATTGTTTCAAAAAGCGATTAGTGCATGAAGAAAAGAAAAATCTCCGCTTCCTAAAACCTTAGTTACCTCAATGAACCTTTGCCGCCATCGCCGCTACTAGACCGATTCGCCTCATGCTCACCAGTCGAATCATTGCTATGCTCATCGACCACTGTTGGATTGTTATTCGAGCAGACCAGTTCCATGGGTTCCGATTTCACATCGTCAACAGTGCGAGCTAGTGGAGAAGGGGTTAGGCTAGCACTGCCCACTTTGTCACTATTAGCGATCCCGTTACCATTACCAGTTTCGCTATTGCCATTGCCAGTATTACCGTTATTGCCAGTGGGTCCATTGCCTAAAAGAAGATATTAATTCGTATAATATGTTGCTTTCTCTCTCACACACTGTCCCTTTTCCTCTATGCACACTTACGTTTCTCTTCCTTCATTGGCGGTGTATTGTTGTTATTATGTTTGATGGTTGAGAAATCGGCCGGTGTCAATTGCGGTGATGCGCTACGTGTATGTATAATTTCGGGGCTGTTATTATTGCTCGACGGCAAACCGTTATCAGGTCCACGTATACGTTTCATGGCATTATTCGAGTCCTCCGCCGATGGTGTGCTGTTGTTGCGCTCCCGTCTGAGCATAGCCATGCTGCGTTTGAACAGCTGACTGTTGATGTGTGTGGATGCATAGGGGATTTGTTGGGGTGGAGCCGGTGGTGGTGGTGAGCCGCTGTTGCGTGGATATAGTGGCGGCTCATCCAACAGCGAACTGTGGAGCGAATTGAGTGGTGTACGTGTGGCATTGGCAGCATTCGCCAGATTTTGTATTTGAGCTAATTGCTGTGGAAGCCAAAGAAGACAATAAATATTTAAGCTAACCCGTCGCAGCATAGGAGAGAATTTTGAATACATACACTATGTGTTTCCTCGGCCTGTTGTTGTGTGAGTCCGGAAACTCGAAGTACCTCTGCCGTTTTAAGGAAGGACTGCAAAGATTTTTGATGAACATTTACCTCGCCATGATAGATAAATTCCACCAGCGAGTGTAAATCGAGAAAATTGACGTCCTGCAGGAGGATCACTGGATGTTTGCAAGGTGTGCTCTGCAAGAAAGATAGAAAAAGGGAGATGGAAAAATAGCTATTAATTTGCTACGGACTTTGGTATAGCATAAGGTTCAAAAAAGTTTGAATACTTCTGAGTAGGACGGCCATATTTAGTAAAAAACTCGTTGGTCTTGAGTGCTATCAAATTATTTAATTTTTTTATTTCTTAATTATTTCAGAAAGGCTTTATTTTGTTCATTTTTGGACGCAACCTTCATAAAAATCTCGTTTTCATTGTCCACAGCGCTGATTTGAAATTTGCCAATGCAAATGCAAATGCAATGGAGTGCACACAAATACATACAAAAGTACGTTATGTGACTGCAATGTATCTTTTCGTTTTCGGAAATCGTTGCAAATATGCACTGCATTGCCCTTCAGTCTCGATATCCAGGAGTGTTTGTGCGTTTGCTTTTATTTGTTTGCCGCGTTTTGAAGTGATTTTGAAATACAGAAATACACAAAGCTCATGTGTGCTTACATAGCGTGTGTACATACACGTATGGACGTATGTATGCCCGTGTTTCCGCGAGCTCGTTTTTGTGACTTCATGGTCACCGAATAACAACAAACAGAATAAAGTTGAAGTACCTGATTTGTGCGTGGTTTGTTTATTTAACGATGAACAGACGCACACATAGGTACACACATACTTGCATGTAGTTGAGTGAATGCAGAAAAGAGTTAAGTGGATAATTTTTAAATATTTAAAGAAAAGAATGAAAATGCTTTTCCTCCGCTAACGGGGCAACAACTAATACTTTCCCAGCTACCGTTCATAATATAAAATTGTTGAGAGACACGTTGCAGTACCAAATATTTATGGCCATAACAATATTTTGGAAGCTTTTCAAATAAAAAAACCCATAATCGAAAAAATTTAGTTAGTGCAGTTTTGCATTTCAGTTTCGTGTGAGCATACGATTATTCGCTGACTGACTTTGTTATTTGCTAACATTTCCAACAATTTTATTGCGGCAGACTAATGGGACAATGGTGCGTCTCGACGCGCGGGAAGATAGAGAGAGGCAACCAAGGTTTCGCTGATAGGCTCATGTAGTAAAGTTTGCTGTAGACGACTGGCTGTTGTTATATTCATATGTGGGTTTAAAAGCGCATTCGTTTAGTAGTATGTTTGCTCATATATGTACACTTAAATAGGCAAAGTAACTACATAAAGAAGCAATATTTGGAATACAACACTTCTTTGAAAGTGAAGAATGCAATGAACGACGGATTTTCGTTTTGCAGCTTGCTTTACTAAAGCCAGAACCGAGGCCAGAGCCCGGCTCAGAGCTACGAAATCAAGCGAGGAACCGTATGCTTTAGGTGCAAGACTTTTAAAGTGAATTAACCGGAAGCACTCTCAGAGCCGAGGTTAAAAACGAGTCGTGTTTGCTTAATTAGTCAAGAAGTCAGAATCTCACTTTCGGATGTAGAATCATATAAAAGCGCTCTTGTCCCTTTGGACAAGCGATATTGAAATTTTTTTCATTGAAAGTGGGTTTGATCCGAAGTCTTTGGGAACCTAGCAAAAGGAGCTGGAGTTTCCTATAATTGAGTTCCAAACCCAGGTCCATTTCTAAGTGTATTAGGTCAGTCAAGGCAAATACAGGTAGTTCTTTCGTAGTAGTTACTTTCTTCAAATCGAGATCCGAAATATTGTTCTGTTTGTATACTCGTATACGAGTATTTATTGTTAAAAGCCCTTTCGCATCAGGTTACTATAGCTCCCATCCACATCGATGTAACGCAGCAACAACAGTACATAAAATAAAAGCAATTGAACAACCCAAATATCACAACAACCGAACACTTGACAAGCGATCGTCGAGCAGAGTTGCATTGTATCTAGAAATTAGGTCATACAACAACAAAACTAAAGAAGAAATAAAACAAAAGTGATGCCCGGATGCCTCTGCCTGTGTAACGGAGAGCTGTGAAAAGCATGCAAGCGACTGACTGAATGCATCAATGTCAACAACAACTACAACTATGCAGTAGATGGCAGTAGACATTGTTGCCAAGTAGCATATGGAAGTGGTGGACAGAGATAAAGGGGCGCTGGAGACGAGGCGAGACAAAGGGAGGACGGCGATCTTCTTAGCGTGCGATGTTCGAACGAGTTACTCGAAACATAGCCTCGAACTTGTTGCTGCGCCTCTACGTTGCAGTTTCTATCTATTTGCGCACGTCTTCCTGTTTATTTTTCATATTTCAGTCATACTTCTTAACATCGCCTTTTGTATTTGTACATACTCGGATACATACATATACACACTACAAGTTTAATGTGGAAAAAATGTAAAAGCAAAAAATTAAAAAAAAAATTAAAAAAAAAAATTAAAAAAAAAATTGCGCAAAAATCGTGTTATTCCGAGCTACCGTACAACCGGCTTCCCTATGCATACTATGTATTTGTGTAAATATTTGCAGATCTGTACCTTCATATGCATGTATTAGTATTTTTTATTGCACTTTATATTTTTCCATCTTTGTTTTCGCTATTTACTGTGTTTATTCATGCTCTGGCAAAGGATCGTTTCTATTTTTACAGCTTTGCTGCACGATCGTCGCAGGAGATACTGCACCGCAGATGCTAAGGGGAGAGGAACAGCGAAAGAGAGAGGGCGTAGGGTGCGACGTTTGTATGTTGCCTGCTTGCTAGCTTTGTCAGTTGGGAAAATGAGGTCAGCAGCAGCAGCAGTCGATTACAAAAATCTGACTTAGTATATATTTGTAAATAGGCGCACACGTGCACGCACACTAGCGCAACGGTGGCGTGCACTCGATTTACACACACACATACAGCTGCACACATGCGTGTGAATGCAGGCAAGTGCTTTTGCATGGTTTTTACTGAATTCTTTTATTTCACATTTTTTCACATCTCGGCCTTTGGAATTTATTTGTGATTATATATTTAAGTTTATGATCTGTAGAAAGTGGCACAGCTGCGGAGATTGTCTTTTTTATATTTTATCTGGTATTATTTGTATCTTTTGTTTTGTTTTAATTTTTGAAATTGCATATTTAAAATTAAAATCAAAAACTAAATTGGAAAAAAATAAAATAAAATAAAATAAAATAAAATAAAATAAAATAAAATAAAATAAAATAAAATAAAATAAAATAAAATAAAATAAAATAAAATAAAATAAAAGTAAATGAAATAAAATAATAATGAACATTCTCATACAATGTATTCAGTTTTCACTTCCAGAATGAGTAACATTTTTTTAATTATAAGTGCTAGCGCCCATTTCTTTGTTTACCCCTCACTACTAACATGAATACCAAAATATATCACAATAATTCAATTTAAGTTCACAATTCTAGTAAAAAGTTTCCAAGTTTTCAATACCGTTGCCAACTTTATTTCATTTCTCAAATTAGCTCATTTCAAAGGAAAAGATTTAAAATTAATTGTAAAGCAGATCTGCCATGTCTAAAGCATTGAATATAGAGAAAAGTAAGGAATTAAAGAAAAAGAAAATAACAAGTATTTATATCGTTTGCAAAAAAATCCGTTGCACTAAATTGTAAAAAGTTTAACATGTGCAAAATATAACAACAACAATACACATACAACTGCTGATTAACAATTTGTTGAAGTAAAAATATGTAAAATAAATCAGCACAGAAAAAAACAGCGGCCGTCAATTGCAGAGTCAGCAAAAAAAAAAGAAGTCTACAAACATACAAACATACAAACATACCTGCCTACTTATGCAAAGTAAATAAAATTGAAGAAGTGCACACTTTTTCAAACAACAAAGCGAACAAGTCATGACATTTACAAGCACACATACTCGGGCAAGTGAATTGTAGGCATTACAAGTTGTAAAAAAATAAAAAATAAAAAATTAAATATGAAAAGGGACAACATTTAATTTGCCAAATAGCAAAATAAATGCACAACAATTGCAGTGTGAAGAAAGAGCACAAAAATGTCGCTTAAGATTATGGTGGAAGCGCGAAAGGCTGGGTGGGGTAACTTGGCTTTAGACAGCGGCAGCGGCAGCGCCAGTGGCAGCGGTGGGAGAAAAAGGCCGCGCCTCGGACAATTGCAAAAACAATCTCTCTAGCGAAACTTTATTGGCACTAAAAGTGTAACTTGTTGTTGTTTTTTGTGTTTGTTTTTCTTAAACTAACTTTACACAAGTAACTACATTTGTAGATATTATTGTTATAGCAACAAACTACAAACTATTGTAAGCAAGTGCCCCAAAAAATGAATACAATATTTTTTCAGTGGGACAACTTGCAAGGCAAGACAGGCAAAACCAACACCAGCGATTTTATAAAAACTCACTTCTAACGACCCTATTTTTTGCGGGGACTACAACTTTTCTCTCTTCCGAAAGAGAAATGGTGAGCGAAAGCGGCTCCGACCACGAGTAAGCGTCTTTTGTCTAGTGCGCCCTTTGTTTAGTGCTGCGCATAGATCTAGAAATCTACAAATATCAAATATACGACGTTTCGGTCATTCCCTGTTTCTTGCTGTCACTGCTCTCTTTAGGGCTGCCACTTTAACATCTTTACTCTACGCAAATTTTCGTCAATTCCATTAATTCATTTTCCAGTACTTTTGATTGTTTTTTGTGCTGCCGAACCCCAGTTATATGACTGTGACACCTATTTTTTTTTGATATTACCTGACGGTTTTCGAATTCAAAATACTGTTAACCGTATGCTTAACTATTTGAGAAAATCTAACTCTTCACTATGCACCACTGTCTCTTCGGCTCACATTCAAATGCCTTTTGTAGTCTTCTGACGGAAGAACTGGCGTGAAGTGGCCGAGAAAGTGAATAAATAAGTATCCACTCGGTGTATAAATATTTAATTAACTGCTGCATTATTTTAATTAGGTTTAAACTGCAATACGGCAGCAAAGTGCTGGAACGCGAACCCTCCTCGCCCCTCCACTTGCACGCTTTTGGCCGGCGCGTACCTAAATAGGCTCAACCCAACGCAATGGCACTTGTAGTACA